GGGAGGTCACACCAGCTGGGAGCCGTCCCAAACTGAGGGACTCCGAGCGCGGTCTCGTCCGCCTCCGCCGCGATTCCCTGCGGCTGAGCGGGCTTGCACGCCGCGCAGAACCAGTCGCCACCTGGGACGAGCTCGCCGGGCAGCAGCTCAAACTCCGCCTCGCAGCCGTCGCACACGATCGTCGTGACGATCTCTTCCGGATCCGCCGCCGCCGCAGCCGCCGCCAGCATAGCGTCCTCGGAGACGCCGCCGCCACTCGTGCTGCTGCCGCCGGCAGCGCCGAACGCCCGCGCGTACTCCACCGCCGCCTCCACCGCCGTGTCGAAGGTGCCGATGGAAACCCTCCTTTCGCCCGCCCTGTACTGCGCCCGGAAGCGGCCAGAGGCGAGCTCGTGCACGCCCTTGTAGCCGGTGGCGCTGCTGCTGGAGAGGTGCAAGCGCAAGCCCTCCGCCGCCGCCGCCACCGTCGGAGGAGGAGGGGGAGGCTCGCCGACCGCCCGCGCGTGCGCCACCGCCGCCTCCACCGCAGTGCCGAAGGTGCCGAGGTAGACATCCTTGCCGTCCACCTTGTGCCGCGCCACGAAGCGGCCAGAGTGCTCTTGCACTCCTTTGTAGCCGGTGCTGCTGCTGCTCGAGAGGTGCAAGCGCAAGCCCTCCGCCTCCGTCGCCACTGTCGGAAAAGGCGGAGGCTGATACTCGCCGACCGCCCGCGCGTACGCCACCGCCCCCTCCACCGCCGTGTCGAAGCAGCCGAGGGTGACCTGCCGCCCGTTCGCCGTGTGCCGCACCTCGAAACGGCCACATTGCTCGCGCACTCCCTTGTAGCCGGTGGCGCTGCTGCTCGAGAGGTGCAGCTTCAGCCCCTCCGCCTCCGCCACGACCGCCTCCGCCGCGAGCGGCGCGGCTGCGGCGACGGGTGCAGCCCCCCCTGGCGTCGGCGGTGCGGTCGGAGGCGGCGACGAGGTTGAGCCTGCGGCCTCCGCCTCCTCCGCCTCCGCCTCGGGCTCCGTGCAGGCCGCCACCAGCTGCGCCGCGCCCTTCGCCGCCGCGCCCTGAGCCTGCGCCGCCACCGCCTCCGCCGCCTCCGGTGCAGCCTGCGCCGCCAACCGCGAGTCCGACGCGGGCGCGAGCGAAGTGGAGTCGGCGCCGCGGGTGGGCGCTGCCCGGCGCGTCTCACTCCCCTTGCCGCCACCCCCCTTGCCCTCGCCCCCTCCCCTTCCCGCGCCGGGGATCGCCGAGACGTCGTCGCGCGGAGCGCGCACGTCTGTCTGCTCTGCCGCCTGCTCTGCCGCCTGCTCCGCCGCCGCGCTGAGCCGAGCATGGAGGTGTGCGAGGCCGGCGCGAGCGGGAGGGGCGAGCGCCGCGTCGGGCATGGCGAGGACCTGGCTGACGCCGCTCGTCAGCTGCGGACCCGCCCGCAACGGAGGGTCGAGCGCCAGGGCCGCGGCGGCAGCCTCGACCGCCTGCAGCAGCTGCGCCTGCACCGGGCCGAGCAGCAGCAGCGCGCGGAGGCCGCCTGCGAGGCCCGCGTCGGGCACCGCGCGACGGGCCATCTCGAGCACCTCGCACAGAGCTGCTTCGCCGGCGGCGAGGGCGGCGCCACCAAGCGCCGCTCTGCACCGCTCGAGCTGGCTGCACAGCGCCGCCTCGGAGGCAGCGAGCGGCGCCTTGCCGCCGCCTGCTTTGCCGATCGAACCCTGCGGAAGCTTTGCCCGCGGCATGGGCTCGGGTCGAGCCTGCTCCTCTGCCGTGGCGCGCGCGGCGGCGTCGCTCAGAACCTTGACGAAGCGAGGCGCGACGCGCTCCTCGGACTCGCCGTCGTCCTCGTAAAAGATGTCGCACGTACCGTCGTCGTGCACCGCGGTGACCGTCCCGGGGAACCCTGCGCGGTACGGCGGGAGGTGTGTGTGTGGGAGGGGGGGGGGCAGCTGCGGGTGAGGGAGGCGGTGGGGGCGGGGTGGCGGCGGCGAGGGTGGTGGTGGCGAGGATGTGGTGCGTTGGTGACGGAGGGGGCGGTGGTGATGGTTCGTGCTTCGTGGAGAGGAGCGACAAGAAGGGGCGGAAGATGGGGTTGGGGGTGGAGACGGCGACCGGAGGGGAGAGAGGGGGGGGGGGTGGTGGCAAAGGGGGGGGGGGCGGCGACGGGGGCGGTGGCAAGTTGGGGGCGGCTGGAGGCGAGAGGGCGAGAACGGCGGCAGTCCGGAGGGCGGCGGCGGCGAGGGCTGCTGGGATGATGGCGGCGGTTTGGGTGGCGGCGAGAGCAGCGGGCGGCTGGAGGTGAGGGCGAGAACAGCGGCAGTCCGCAGGGCGGCGGAGGGCGGCGAGGGGGCGGGATGCGGCGGCGAGGGCGGGGGCAGAGGCGTTGGCTGGGGCGGAGATTGTGGAGAGTGAGAGGGCGGCGCGGGGGCGAGGGCGGGGGCGAGGGCGGCGGTGGGGATGGAGCTGCGAGGTTGGCTCGGGCGAGGGTGGGGGTGTGGGTGGGGGCGGCTAGGGCAGCTGGGATGGTGGCGGCGGCGTGGGTGGCAAGGGAGGCATCGGACAGAGGAGAAGACGGCGGCGGGGGCGGCGGCGATGAGGCGAGAGCGGCGGCAGAGGCCGACATCACTAGTAGAACCGCTGAAGCACGGGATTTGGAGGGAGCCCATGCGACCTAGCCCGTGCGTGCCCTCTGACCCTTGTGCAAGGACAGTGATCAGGGCATGAGCGCGTACAGTTGAAGCCGCCGATGTCGCCCTGAAATTTTGCGCGGACCCGCTCGCCCGGCTTGGCATACGCGGCGGGGTCCACCGCGTCGAGGAGCCTCCAGCGCCGCTTGGCGCCCTTCGCTGCCGCTTCAGGGGCAGCTGGGCGCAAGAACATCTCGGACCAGCAGGCGGACGGGCTTGAGACGCCGGGAGCCACAGCGGAACTCGAGATACCACATCTCGGGTAAACTGCTTTCAACGCGGCCTTGCCTTCACTTGAGCACTTGAGCACTTGAGCACTTGATAGGGTCGATTCCGCGTGGTACGAGTCTTCGCGTGCCGCCTGTTGTTCGACTCGGGCGCCTTGGGCGTCGGGGTGGCGAGCAGGGGACGACGATGGTTGCGCATTTTTTCTTTATTTTTGCCCTTGAATGTTGAATCCCGGCGTTTGCCCGCCCCCCCCTCTCTACGGACCGCGGAGACAGATGAGCGACCGCCCTCTACAGGAAGATTTGCCGTCAAGCCGTCCACTCGCAGGATGGAACGCTGATCTCCAGCCACAGGCACAGCCAGGAGCCGCCGCGAGGAGGCGACGCTTGATTGAGCAGCGTGGGCCCGACGATGCGCGGCGGTTTTTCTTTTTTTGAGAGCGCCGTTGTTAATAATAATACAGACGGATGGTCACTTGCTGTAGCCACATGACACGCACACACTCGCACCGCACCCGCGCGCCCCCCCGCCTCGCCTCCTGAGCCGCAAACTTCCCCCATGGGACCTATTTGAGGCGGTGTGACGGCACTCACAGGGCACGGGAAGCTCTCCCGCCGTGTCTGCTGGCCCGCCCGACCCGCGGGGAACGGCGCGCGCCCTCCCGGCGGAGCTGGGTGCGGCAGACGGGCCCACGGGTCGGTTCCGGGCCGATTTGGGGCCGTTCTGTGAGTCCTGGGTCAAAATCGTAATCGAGCTACACTCTCTACACAAGTAAAAATCTCGCCCCCACGGATGATACTTTTTGATTTTTCTAGCCACGATCGTTGCTTGTCATGCTGACCAGTATGTCTTCACCGCCCGCATCGGTGCAGGCCCTGTGTCCACTTTCAGGGCTGGAGGGATGAGCAGCGCAAAAGCCCTTCCCGATGGCGCAGGTCGGGTGGCCAGCCACTGCTCGACTCTCTCGACGGCGAGACAGATCGGAAGCATGAGGAGGAGGAGCAGCAGCGAAATGGCCGCCAAAAGCAACATAGCCGTCACAAGCAAGAGAGTCATCGTCGCAAGGAATACCGGGACACCGAGCGCCACCCCAGGTACATCGGTGAATGCATCCGGCGGGTGCAGGGGCTTGATGAGCCTACACACCGCCGTCGCAAATGCGCGAAGAGGCCCATCCCCAAACCAGTTGGTCGGGTCGACTTCCATCGTCAGCAGCGTCGGATCGGAGAAGACGTAGGACGTGCAGTGTGCAACGGAGAGGAGCGGCAGCACCGTAAACAGGGCGGTCACCTGGTGGTCCGCGGTGGGCCGCCTCGCATTCCTCCAGCGCCAGCGGGCCATGCCATAGTAGAAGGCAAGCACAAACGCCCACTGGCACCAAATCGGGCACGGGTCGTCGCGCCAGCCCCAGAAGCTAATTGGCTCGCTTTCATGGATCAGGTCTTGCCGACCCCGGCGCATGCCCAGCTCAGTGCTCTCTGGGTGCATGCGCGACTGGCGAAAGTCGCTGTGAGACGTGACGAGACCCACCAGCTGCAAGACGTGCACCGCCGGCCCCCAGATATCAACCTCCCACCATGCCTGCCATGTCGAGATGGACGATGGAGCTCCGTGCTGCACCCGGGGGTGGGGGGGGGGGGAGTTGAGGGTGAGGAGGAGAAGGAACCGTGGACAGTCAGGGGAGCGCACATGGTTGTTGTGGTTATTCTCCCCAAGCATAAACGGGAAGAGAAACGGCACGTTCTTGCCGGTGCACGGTCCCGACATGGCGTCTCTGTAGCGCACGTACCCAACCGTGTGCACCGCAGAGTTGACGAGCATCGAGTTGTGGAATGTCATCACGGCGGGGAGGCAAAAGTAGAAGGCGTAGGATACGAAAGCGAAGCGGAAGGCGCTGAAGATGCGTACGCTCACGCGGGTGCGGCCAGTTGCCGCCCCTCGCGGGCTGAGCAGGAAGTGCAGCAGCCAGAGCAGCATCGTGCCGAGGATGGGGACGCCGAGAAACATCCATGGCACACCCCAGTCGTGCCAGAACTGCATGTCGTCATCCATCAGGTCTGGTACAGCCGTCTCAATCGTCACATGCTCAAAGTGGTCCCACAACAGGCCGCCGTGCGCAAACCAGAAGCCGCGAGGGCCGTTCACCGCGTGGGGGTCGCCGCCTTCTTGCTCGCACAAGTTGTGGTGCCGCCGGTGCACGCCCGCCCAGTACCGAGGGTCGCCCTGTCCGTTGAGACAGTGGCATAGCGCGATAAAGTTCTTAAAGGCGCGGCTCGGCACAAAGGCCGAGTGCGAGAAGAGTCGATGCGAACCGAGGGCGATGCCTGAGTACATGCACAGCCAAGCGGCAATGACGCCCCACGGCTTGATCAGCGCGTGCGCGCCCGGTCCGGTGAAACGCCACCACGCCGCCATCAGCACAGCGGCTGGGAAGACGACAAACTGGGCCAGGAAGAGCACCTTGTTCAGCAGCGCCTTGGCTGTGCGGTCCTCGACCTCCTCGGCTGCTGACCAAAATGGGGCAGTCGTAGGCTCGCGCACGTCCGGGAGCATGTCGAAAAAGAACCTCCAAGGCTTGGCCGTGGTCGTCGTTCCTGCCGCCGTATGATTCGAGACAAAGATGGTGCTCTGCTGGAGCGGCAGACCCATCGTTCCCCTCGCCGTGTGATTGGAGAGAAGGATGGTGCTCTGCGCCACTGGCGCGCGGAACAATCTGTGCACATCCCTCTCGGAGGGCACGGCGCGTTGCATGATGTTGGTCGAGATCTGAAGGCCGTGGAATGGAACGTGCCGCTCGTCGATGCCTGGGTGGCCGACTGCAACCGACGGGTGGGGCAGGCCGAAGCTCCAGGAGCAGTTGCCGTCCCCAAGCTCGATGCCATTTGGGACGCCATCACCATCGCTGTCCATCTGGCACAGCTCGACCGTCCACTGGTAACCCTGGTGCGCAAAGTCCTTGGCAAACTGATTACGTGGGAGCTGCGGTAGCGTGGCCTCGGGCAGCAGGTGGCCGACGGCGTGCCACCAGCGGCCATGGACGTAGACGTGGGGCCCGTTGGGGATGCGCTCCGCATAGAACTCAAAGCCGAGAGTCGAGGCGACGAGGAACCAGGGCACGCCCATGCGGGGGGGCTGGGAGGACGCTTGAATGCGGATGCGGCACGCAGGGCACTAAAGGGCGCGGTGAGGCCCAGGCGGGGCGCGGTGGGGAACGGGCCGCCGCCTTCACGTGGTAACCGATCCTCGGTTCCCCAATCTCCCCTTGGCTCCGACTCGAGGTCCGACCACTTCCCCAAGCAAGCGAGCGCTAGTGAAGGCCCAGGGAACCGATATGCCTTACAGTATTTTTATACAACACTCAGGCAGGCAAGCTTGTGGCCGCCGAACAGCTCGCCGACAGCATCGTCGCGACCGACGCCGCCGCCGAGGCGGGGGGGGCCACGGTGACCACCGCCGCCCACGATGTCCTCCGACGAGTCGGCGTCGGAGTCTGGGGGGGTGGGAGGGTCGGGGGCGCACCCGCTCGCGGTCCTTGGCCGCCTTGCCGCCCGCTCCGCCGCCGTCGATGGAGTGACAATAAGGGGGTGGATCTTACCGATGGCTTTTAAAGAGAGCAAGTAGCCGGTAGACAACAGTGAACAGAGAGGCGAGATGAGGCGACGGGCTTGTGGTCCAGATCTACAGTTACAGTATGAGCTCCGTCGTGCGTCGATAGGCTGTGCCGCGACAGGGAGTGGCTGTTTCAAGCTGTTTGTCTACTGCATTTCAATCCTATCGCTTGTAGAATCTAGCTTTTGAGGACCCTATGTAAAAATCATGTGCCCTTAAGTCACAGACACAGACGAGTTCGGCGCGCGGCGCGCTCCAAACGGGGAGGTGGCGTTGTCGAGCCGCCAGGAGGCGCGCCACAGGACGCGCACCCTCGACGCGTTTTGCGGGTCGATGAAGAGCGGCAGCCACACGTAGGTGCCAAACGAGACGTTGTTCTTCGGCGTCCATCGATCGGCCATGTACACAAACGGCGCCAGCGCCGAGCCCTTCCGGTACAGCGGGTTGGCGAGGATGAAGGTGCTTTGGCTGCCAAAGGCCCAGACGCCCGGCCTGTTCCTTTGCTTTTGGTTGCCCGACTGGTTGGGCTCGGGGATGGGCGGCGGCTGCCAGCCGACGAGCCAGCCCTTCGAGTTGTTCAAGCCCGAGCAGTTGAAGCAGCCGAGGGCGGTGGGTGCGGTGTACAGGTGCGTCGTGGTTGGCGCCCAGCCCATGCAGCCACTCACCCAGAGGTAGAAGCGTTCGTTTGCAAAAAAGACGGTCGGCGCTTCTCGGTTGGGGGTCGCGAAGAGTTGCGTATCGCTCTCCGGGCGAACATCGGTGCAATCCTCGGTCAGCTCCATGCCGCGAAAGCCGGTCTGATGCCAGCGCGTGCGCCAGTACACGTAGGCGCGGCCCGTGCGCGGATCCTGAAAGAGCGTGGCATCTCCGTACTGGTAGCCCGCGCGGAAGTTTGGGCCTCCTCGAGCCACGGTGCGGAAGGGGTCCGTCTGGTCGCCGACGAAGCGAAACGGGCCCGTCGGTGCATCGCTCGTCGCAACGGCCAAGAGCTGAGAGGCGAGAGCTGAGCCGCGCACCCACATGACGTACTGGCCGGTGCCTGTGCATCGGATCACCTTGGGCCGCTCCAGACTCAGCCCGTTGTCAGTGGAGGAGTTGAACGCATGCAGGACGAGCCCGCGATGCGTCCAGCTGTAGAGATCGGTGGACGTGTACAGGTTGACACCACGGTCGAGGCAGCAAGGCGGGCTCATCCCGTTCCGGGCACTGCCATACGGCAGCAAGGCGGGCTCATCCCGTTCCGGGCACTGCCATACCAGTAGTACACGCCGCCGTCCAAGAGGAAACCGCCGCCGTGAGCATCGATCGTGTTGCCGTCCGTGTCGAGCCAGATCTCACCAGAGCGGAATGCGGCGAAGCAGGACGCCTCCGCCGCAAGCCAGAGCAGCGAGATCTTGGGCATGTTCACACTACCTGTCGAAGGCGTCAGGTTTAGACGCGGCGCACGCGCAACACGCATGTGTGCTTCGCTTCTGCGCTCACCACTTAGACAACAGCCGGTCCTCCGAAGGAGGAATTCCGCCGCAAGCAATGCCTCCGGCGGCCCCTCACCGCCGGGGGGGCGTTCCTCCTCCGGAGGTGGTGAGTGTGTGTGTGTTGTGTGTACACACACTCACACACACTCACACTCCTCCGGAGGTGGGAGGCTCCTGCGGAGGGCCGGCGCGGAACGGGGAGACGTGGGGCCCCGGAAGGAACTCGTACCTCGTCCCTTCACCCCACATATCCCCGCTCCGCTTAGAGTAAGGTGTTGCTGCGCAAAAGAGGCCTTGCACGGCCGTGTAATCCCGCATCTAAAGACGCTTCATGTCCGCTAGGATCTCTCCTTCGAACTTCGAGCCGGCTCGCTCGACCTCTGCCTCTCCCTCTCTCGCTCTATACGCGCAGCCATCACAGTCCCCGCCGTTCTCACCCAAAACATATTATGACTATAAAGGGGAGTGCAAGCGACATGGTTCTACAATGGCAACACTCGCCACTCGCGCAGAGGTCTCGATGGTCTCGACGGGGGTCAATTCACGACTGCTGCCGGTTTAAGTTGGCGGACCGGCATAGCGCGTGGCGGTAGCTCCTGCCAGGGCGGGGTCCAGGCTGCTTTAGTCGCGGGGGTTGCTCCTGTGTGGCGAACCTACGTGGTAGCAGCTTTTGTGTGGCGAACCTGCAGCTCGTCCGAGTCCATGCGCATAACGCTAGGCTGAACCAAATTGTCGTTAGACGGAGAAGCGCTCGCGTGCATCTGGCGGTAGCGGCGCCCAAGGAGGCATCGCCACACGTAGCCCGCGACGGAAAGCAGCACCGCGAGGCTGACAAAGGCAAGGGCTAGCTCGTTGGTTGCGTTGCCTTGCGTTGCCCAGAGGCCAAGCAGCGGTAGGTGCCGCGCGCCATCGCTTGCCGGCGGCAGCGCGTGTTTCCATTGGAGCAGCTCCTCGCTCAGCTCGCCCGAGGCGACGGCTTCAACCCCATGGCGGTGAAGGATCTCGAGCAGTCCCGCCTCGTCTGCGTGAGCGTCACGGATCACCCCCCGTAGGCTCACCGCCTCGAGCTTGCTGATTGCGCCGTCGCCGTTGGCGTCCAGCTCGTCCTTCTCGCTCTTTGTCACCCGCCCGTCCCCATTCAGGTCCAGCGCCTCGTGCCTGCTCACGCGCCCATCGCCATTGACATCCGTGGTTGCCTCGAGTGCCTCAAATCTGGCCTCAACCACCGCCTTCTCGCTCTTGCTCAGCTTGCCGTCGCCGTTGAGGTCGAGCTTGTCAATGAGCTCCAGCGCTTCCTGTCGGCTCACCGCCACCTCTCTCGCTGGCGGATCCATATGTTTGCCTTTCCGCACGCCGGCGCGCACACGCACGCCGCTCGATTTGTCACGTAAAAAAACAAAAAAATCGCGAAATTTCTTTCTCTCTTCTCGCTCGCGTGAGCATCGACTCCTGATCAGCGACGCGTCGACACTGGCGGCATACGTGGCGTCCCAGGGGCAAGATTGACTTTTTAAAAAGAAAAAAACCTCCGAGTGCTCCAAGTGCTCCAAGTCGCAGCTGGCAATTCCGTATACGGGCGGGTCTCTGGTTTGAAGCACCGGATCGACGTCAGCGTGAGCGCACGGGGTGACGCTGCCGCCTGCTCCCTACCCCACGGTCTCGTCGGCCAGTCCTTCTCGTCGACGGCGCCGCGCCACGGCAAGAAGGATCTCTACCCCATCGCCGGTTCGTTCATTTCAAGACCTCGGCGCAGGCGGAAGGGGCCATCGAGGACAGCTTTCCAACTATTGCAATACGAGTTGGCTGGGCCCTACGACGGCACCGCAGCCGGAGCTGATCGCGCCGGTCGGACGCCTCAGCTGTGGATGGAGGAGAAGGACAGCTGTGAAGTCACAAAATTCTCTGCGATAGTGAAAAAATAATATTGAGAGCGTCGATAATTTTTGCCTTTCCAGCCCCCCCCCCCCCCCCAAAGGAGGGTACATGTACCACTCTGACCTGTTCCGACCCTGATCCGACTGTGTCTGTGATCTTCAGACCTTATGTACCTGTTCCGACCCTGTTTGGTTTGACCCACGGTCGGAACAGGGTTGGATCAGGGTCGGAACAGTGTTGGTCTTGTTTGGCCCAAAAGGGCCCTGCAATAGGTAGGTACCCCCTATTTTCATCTTTTTTCGCTTTGCTGCGCGGCCTGGGGATAGGTAGGTAGGTAGGGCGTTTTGGCGCGAGTCAGTGCCGCAGACCCCCTATCCGGGTAGGAGCCGGAACCCAGGGTCGGAACAGCGAGCGAGTTCTTTACCAGGTTGCAACCCTTGTTCCGCACTGTGCTGTGAACAGAGCACCAACCAACAGCTCTCAGGACCCCCCGGTGCTGGGGTGCTGCCAGCAACCAACCAAGTCGGGCGGAGCAGCGTCGTTCCGATGTTTCGGCGGGCACTTCTCACCTAAGTCCTTGTGGCGGGCCGCCAGGCCCGGAAGCAGATGCCGACGAGGATCAGACACGGCGCGCTATCTGGGCTCGGAGGTCGGCAAAAAGGTTGCGCAACCGACACCAGCGACCAGGATCGTCGATCGAGGTAGGTGCACGCTGCTGAAGCAGTGCACCTACATAGTGCGGGACCTGGGGCAGCAACCAACAACCTGGATGGGGACGGGGTGCTGCTCAACCGGCGGCAAACAGCAGCGTTCACAGCCGAGTGCGGAACAAGGGTTGCAACTTGGTAAAGAATTCTTAAGATACAAGCCTCTCTCACAGCACACTGGCACGACAAGGGCGCAGACTGGCGCGGACTGGCACACACACAGGCTCACTTGGTAAAGAATTTTACAACAAAACTCCCTCGCACGACACTGGGCACAGGACTGGGCACGGGACTGGCTCGCACTGGCACCTGGTAAAGAACTCGCACGGTAGGTGCCTCTAACATTCACTCTGATTTTGGCGCCATGGGCGGAGCCTTCACCCTCGGCCGGCTCAAGCCGATGATCGCCGCGACAGCTTGGATCGCTCCGAACGCTCATTTGGTGGGCAATGTGGTGCTCAGAGATCGGGCATCGATCTGGTTCGGCGTTGTCGTGCGAGGAGATAACCCGGAGCCCATCACCATCGGAGAGCGCACGAACGTCCAGGAGAACTCGGTGTTGCACGCTGATGCGGGCGTGCCGCTCACTCTCGGCAACGACGTCACGGTCGGCCACTGCGCGATGCTCCACGGCTGCACGATTGGCGAGCGGCGCGTGTGCCGCTCAGCCCGCACCGCTCGCTCACAGACCGCGGGCAGTGGCCGGCCATCTAGGCGACAACTCGCTGATTGGCATCGGCGCGACGGTGCTGAACAAGGCGGTCGTCGGGAAGAACTGCCTGATCGGGGCGCACGCGCTGGTGCCCGAGGGGAAGGCGCACGCCTCACACATACCTGTTGCGCAACTCTCCTCTCTCCACTCCAAGACATATGTGTATATGAATCATTGAGCGGCTGCTGCCCCTCACCCGCACGTACCCAGACCCTCCCCTCCACCGCCAGGTCATCCCAGACGGCTCCCTCGTCATCGGGGCTCCGGCGAAGGTGGTCCGGACGTTGACGGAGGACCAGATCAAAGGCGCGCAACCCTAGTTCGCCATTGCTTCCCGCCGCCCTGGGGCTGCTTGACCGCGCACACACACACACACACACACACACACACTCACACACACACACACACACACACACACACACACACACACACACACACACGCATGCAGCGTGGACCGTTTACCACCTTACCTTGCTTTGTCCTGCAGGGCTGACTGCGTCGGCGGCGCACTATGTCGAGAACGCGGAGCGCTTCCGACAAGACCTCGCCCCCGTCGACGACGAGGGACGAGGTTGCCGCGAAGCTTTGTGAAGACTACTTGGCGATTCTCTCGAGCGGGAGGTCAGGTGTCCGAAGGAGGCACAAGTAACCGACAGCGCGAGGACTAGCCTCATCGCTCATCTGCCCGCGCGGGTTCACGGGGCACGGTGGCTCTAGCCCGATGCCCCATGCTCTCTCCAACCTCTTTATTTGCACGCGGAGCGTCTCCAGTCCAAGAGCACTTGGAGCGGAGAGTTGTTGATGTTCCCGTTTCCCGAGAAAAAAGGGGCACTCGGAGCGCTGTTGCGCGAAAGCCGTCAAACTGCTCATACCCTTATGCATTGAAAAAACGTAACAACAACGGGCACACGGCCTCGCCGCGGGCCTCCACTGCGCAGTCGAGTCACGGCACGCTCCACGCACACCGGCGAAAGGGCGCCTCCCCGCACACACACTCCGCTCGCGTCGACTTTCTCGGTGCCCATCATCCGAACCCCGACTCGTCGCCCTCGCTGGGCCGACGGTAGCCGGGTGGGAAGAGCACCGCCGCCACCGGCCGCTGCTCCTGCACCATAAAGTTGAGCGTCGACGAGGCGGTGCGCGTGTTGAGCACCTCGAGCGCCAATCCGTGCCGCGCGGCCCACGCGCCGACCGCGGGCGGCGGCCGCTCGATCCGCTCGCCGCAGCCGAGGATGAGCAGCTCCGGCCGCTCCTCGAGCAGCAGCAGTGGCGTGAGCGACGCCGGCGTCAGCTCGCCGACAGCGGCGGCGGAGAAGAGAAACGACTGGTCCGGCAGCAGAAGCACCGCGCCAGGCAGCTGGACGCCGTTGACGACGAAACCGCGGCTCGAGTAGGACTCGACCGAGGTGGTGCCGTGCGCAAAGAGCCCGTCAACGCCGCGGCTCACCTCCTCACTCAGGGGCTGGAAGCCGCCAGTGTCGCCGAGGATGTCGTGTCCGTACCCGCTATGCGGCGTGTGGCGGCGGGACGTGCGGCGGCCGCCGCCGCCGGAGCTCAGCGCGCGGAGGGCGACGCGCGACGGCGACCGGATTGCTCGTGCTCGCTTCGCTCTGAACAAGAGCATCACGAAGCTCCGCGCAAGCCTCCGCGTTTTCTTTTTCTTTTTGTTTTTTTGAGAGCGCCTTCGTTGTTAATAGTACAAACCCAATGGTCCTCTGCGAGCGGTCCTTCGTTGCAGACGCACACACGCACACGCCACGCCGCACCGCGCGCCCGCCCACCGCCCCGCCCAGGCGGGAAAGAGGTGGGGAGATGGGACAGCGAAGGAGGAGCACGAGCACGTATGGGAGGGTTCAGTAATGCGCCACTTTTTGTTTTGAGCAGACGACTTCGAACAAGCGAAGGCACACACAACATGACGCCAAACACACGATTGCACGCACCGCACACCGCACCCGGCACCCGCGCCCGCCGCCCCCCCGGCCCCCGCCCCGCCTAGGTGGGAAAGAGACGAGGAGATGGAACAGCCCGAGGAAAGGAGCGAAACAAACACGTACGGGAGGGTAAAGTTGTGCACCACGCTGCCCGGCGTTTCTCACTTTCCGGGACAGCCCCGCCCTTGTGAGGCAGGAAAGTGGCGGCTACCCCGTACGCCCAGCCCACTACGATTTTGTTTTTGTCCATGTGCCAGTCTGCTGTGAGAGGGGCTTGTATTCGTAGAATTCTTCTTTGAAATTCTTCTTTGTGGGTGCGACGCCCCCCCTATAGCATACCCTGTCCGCTGTAGCACGGACGGCGCCACGGCGGTTGCCAATCGGCCTTCCCCCTCTCGTAGCCGAACGCGCGCCTGGAGCCTGTGTAAAATGCCTGTTTTTGAAACAAATAAATAAAAAAATATGAAAACGGACACCTCTCCGGAGAGAATTTCTTGTTGGTTTTCAAAAATCTCTCTCACCTCTATCTAGGCTTTCTACTGTGTAAATTCTACTGTGAGATGGGTAATTAATGAAACACATATGAGGATGCGACTCTTTTGGGGGATAAGGCTTTCATGGTACACGGACACCGGCAGAGCTCCGCGTTGAATGATGTGCGTTTTCGCGGCGCCTGTTCCTCGTGCAGTCACGTAGCGTGAATGCGAATGGCATTTCGCGATGGAAGAGGCGCTTCGAGGGTAGAGGAGTGTCCAGGTCAGACCCTGTTGACGAGAATTTTACACGGCCTGAAGCGGCAGAAAAATAAATCTGCCTTTCTTTCTTTTGAGGGCAGAACGCCGAGTTTGTCGATCTTGTATCTGCGCGCCTCTGTGCGGCGAGAAGACCACCTCTACACACTCGAGGACAGGTGGCCTTATCTTATGGAGGGAAGAACTAGAATCATCATATAGGAGGGAGGCCCCCCCCCGCCCGACCCGTGGATACCCCCTCTCGCGCCGATTCGGCACGCGGGAGATTGCCACGTGGACGTAGGGGTTATTTTGCGGGGCGGAGGCCGACCTCTCAAGCAAGCTCGAGAGGCTTCGGATACCGGGGCTATCAAGAAAGACATGTTGCGCCCTTTCTCCTCAACGACTATCCCTGCTTCCCTCTTTCAGGATAAACTTGAAGCCTTTTGCCTTGGTGGAAGTCGACTCTGACTTGCTGAGGTGCACCAGCTCAGTCGAGTCCTCGTCGATGAACTGGATCTTGTGCAGTGTCGACTTCCTAAGTGTGGACACAGAGGGCAGTGAAGGCGAGCACGGTGAAGCACCTGCAGGCGCGAATCGGCCATGCATTGGGACACGCATCTACAGAAATCTGCCCATAGCGCGAGACTTTCTCCACGACCTTGCCCACACGGCCCTCCACCTCGATCATCTTCCCCACGAGGCTCGCCCCGCCCGCCTCTGCACGCATCGCACGCGCGGCCTTCACCTGCTCCGATTCCCTTCTCGCCTCTTCAATCTCCTCCTCCAGCTGCGTCGTGTCCCTCTCGATATCCTCCTTGCGATGCCGTCGCTGCCGTGCGCCTGCAGAGGTGAGGCGGAGGCAGCTGTAAGACAGGCAGCACTGCACGCTCCACCAGAGGCTCTCGGGCCAGCAGTAGTCTAAACGCGCGCTTTCTCTGGCCTTAGCCTCCGCCGCCGCCTCCTCCTCCTCCTTGCGCTTCCGCCGCTCCGACTCTTCCGCGCTCTTGGCAGTTGCGTCCGACTTGTGTGTGGCAGCTGCAATGAGCTCCACCCGCCTGGCCTGCAGTTCCGCATCCTCCTCTTCCTCCTGGACGAGTGCACGCTCTATATTCGCTGACATGCCACCCTGTTGATTCCTTCCCCCCTCGAACGGGGAAAGGCGGTTCACTAGTTCGCGCGGACGTCGGCAGTCACGACGTCAACAGGACAGGGGCAAACGACGAACACGAAGGTCGAGATTTTTCCTTAGCGCGGACGTTGCTGCCGGCCGCTACTGTTGCACTGTTGCACACTGGGATGGGGTCGGATTCCGCATGCACGGGACCCCTCGATCGTCTCCGCTCTCGCTAACCCTCACTGGCGTGTTCATTCTTCATTCCTGTTACTATCCGTTCTATCCTTCAACACAACAGTAATCAGTATTGCACATTTGCGATTTGGGGGGGTCATAGTAACAAACACGGTATACAGGATCGAGGTGCACGCGCTGAAGCAGTAGGCCGCTACTCGTACGTCCAGGAACCCAACACGCAACAGCAGTCAATTCCAGAAGAAAAATCGACGTCCCCCTTTACCCACTTCTGGTGGTGATGAGCGGACTCGCGGCCGGCCCGCGGCCAGCGCCACTCCCGTAGCAAAGCTGCGCGGCCAGGGGCGTCTCCCGCTGGGAGTGTCCCTTGAGCGCACGCCCGCTCTCCAGCTCCCGCCACAGGCAGAGCGCCGCGGGCGTGAGCTGGCGCGAGATTGCCGGGGAGAACCGCGGCACGGCGGAGTCGGACTGGGTGTTGCGGCGGGCGGAGGGCCTAATCTCGGCCCGCCTCGGGGTGATCTCGGCTGATCTCGCACACGGCGCCATGAAGTGGCGGTGCGTCGGGGCTGGGCGCCTCACAGCGGCGAGTAGCCGCTCCGTCGTCGTCGCCTGTTCACAGCTCGCCGCACGTGAAGGGGCGCCGCTCACAGAGGGGGGAGGGAACCCGCTGCTCCGTCGTCGGCGCGTCGAGAGGCGCGACGAGGCCCGAGACCTCGCCGCAGTGCAGGAAGCTGTGCAGCTCCCGCGCCTGGTCGCTCGCGGACACGGGCGCGAGCCATCGCCTGACCAAGAAGTGCAGCGCCAGCCGGGGATCGGCCGAGCTCGGCCGCGAGAGGACACGATCCAGAGAGGAGCACATCGCTCGTCAGCGAGGCCGTCGACTCACTGAGGCTTCGCCACGAGTCGCGGGGCGCGGCTCCTCGGCGGACGCTCTCTCTCTCTCTCCTCTCGGCGGACGCTCTCTCTCTCTCTCCTCTCGGCGGACGCTCTCTCTCTCTCTCTCCTCTCGCCGGCGCCTGAACGAGACGAGCATCGTCGGGCAGCGTGCCTGCGCCGTGGTATACACACCGAAGTCGGGGGCAACAAGTCGACGGTCACTGGTGCTGTGTGCTGGCAGCGTCGCACGAGTACCCGGGGCGACGAGCAGAGCCGATTCTAGCGGAGACAGCCGAGTGCAACCGAACGCATGTCACCTCGAGCGCCAGCTGGAGCACAGGGTGGCGCGTCGAGGGCGCGCGAGCCACCCTCGCCACAGTGATCTCGGGCGATCTCGGCCAATCTCGGGCGATCTCGTCCATTCTCGGCAATCTCGGCTAATCTCGGGCCTCCCTCGCCGCAGTGAGAGCCGACATGACGTACTCCTCCTGCGGTGTGAGACGGAGGCACGTTCTTCTTAGAACAAGGTCTGTGAGTGACAGGGCGGCAGAGGGGGGGGGGGGGGGGGGGGCGGGCGGGGCAGGCGGGGCAGGCGGGGCAGGCAGGGGGGGGCAGGAAGACTCCTCCACACACACGAGGTGGTTGGGCAAGGGGCCGGGCCGCCCTCGCGACTCCGCGTCTAGATAGGCAGGCGTAGGCGCGGCATCGAGAGTGCAGGGCCCGGTGCGCGTGGGTGAGCAGTCCTCGCCAGGGTGCGAGCGGATCTCCCCATATCTCCCCCAGATCTCCCCCAGATCTCCCCCAGATCTCCCCCATCTCTCCCCCATCTCTCCCCCATCTCTCCCCCATCTCTCCCCAATCACCTCGCCAGGGTGCCGGTACGGGATGACGCAGAGAGGGCGGCGCAGCAGCGGCCTCCACACCGGCAGCGTGCGGGCGAAGCGGACGTCCTTGAGCACCTGCTCACATGCTCGCAGCACCGCCTTGGGAGGAGGGAGACCCTCCGGCTGCGCTGCTCGCTGGTCTGTGAGAGGG